AATGGCTTCAGTTTTCCCGAGGTGTAATGATAGTTTGTTGTCTACTAACCATTTGCTGCAGGACTCCAGTTCCAGTGTTAATACCTTACCTATATCTTGTGGGTCTTTACCTGACACTAACAGAGCAATGTCATCTGCATACAGTAGGAGTTTGCACTTGACATTGATAGGCATGTCATTAACATAGCATAGGAATAATAAGGGACCCAGAATACTACCTTGGGAAACTCCACATGCAGGGGTTCTGATTCCGTTTTGTTGATTTTGACAATTTGTCTCCTATTGCTAAGGTAGGACTCAAACCAGTCTACAGAGCCTATACCGATAGCTTGAAGTTTCTTACATAATATATTGTGGTTGACAGTATCAAAGGCTTTTTTGCAGGTCTAAGGTTACCATACCTATGAGGTTCCCCACTGACATTTCAGTTCTCATGTAATCCATCAGATTAATTAGGGAGGTGTCAGTTGAGTAAGATCTACTAAAGCCTGATTGATAGCTATGGAGAATGTTGTTGTCATTAAGGTAGTTAACTCCTTGAGAGTACACCACCCTCTCTAGAATTCTGGATATTATACTGAGCATACTAATAGTTGCTTACATCAGATCTACTATTTTTTTTGAAGATAGGAGTAACTCTGACCTCCTTGAACCCCTCCGGTACAGTATTAGTGGCGATGGACAAATTTATTATGTGAGCAATAGGGATTGACAATTCAGAAGCTCCATCTTTTAGGAACTTACCAAGGATGTTATCAGGGCAAGTGCTCTTAGTTAGGTTTAACCTGCTTAGTTCTTTTTGAATAAAGTCATGAGATACACTTACTAGCTGACAACTGTTTGGGGTTACCCCTTTAATGGTATAGAATGTTTTAAACTTATCAGAGTCTGCATTGAAGGTATTTGATGTATACATTACTAATTTTAAAAAGAGAAACTTTGGTTTTTCTTTTTAGGTCACCCTGCCTTGGTGGAATATGCAGGTATGTATGAAAAAAAGAATAGTGTTTATAAAGTTGTATAGGTGTGTAATGTTAATGTGACTTTTAAAAGGTGCTAAGCCGCATGAGAACCAATATTCCCTATAAGCTGACTAAGTAAAGTGATATTATTGTAATTCAGAAGAAATTAATATTCTGATAAGAAAAATGTATTACACACTTAGAAATATCACTAAATTTAAATAAAAATGGGGAAAGCATCGAAGATGGCATAATGGAAGAACGGACTGGGACTTTGTGATTATTTAATCTAGTGTAATCGGGGTCAGCAGTAATATTATTGGCAAAATTTTATAATGACCAGATAAATGAAGAGAAAATACATCTAGAAGGGTCCAGGATAAGGCTGATAATGATGCAAAATGGGACGCGGTGTTAGATGTATGAGGAACTGGAGCACCGCGAGCACTGTAATAGTTTAATTTTGCCTCCTTATATGTGGTATAAAACCACACAACAGGTAAGGTAGCTGGGTATTGGCCAATATTAGTTTGCCTTCCTGTTAGGAGACATTAGGACATATCACCCATGGAATTAAGTGGTAAGTGTCTTTTACTTTTTCTAATTATGAGCTTAATGTGTAATTAGTAGTATAAACAATATAGAGTGGACCCCCAGTTAACGATATTTTTTCATTCCAGAAGTATGTTCAGGTGCCAGTACTGACCGAATTTGTTCCCATAAGGAATATTGTGAAGTAGATTAGTCCATTTCAGACCCCCAAACATACATGTACAAACGCACTTACATAAATACACTTACATAATTGGTCGCATTGAAAGGTGGTCGTTAAGTGGGGGTCCACTGTATTTTAGTCAAATCACACTTTCATACAGTCCACATAAACTGCCAGTGTTACTGGCTTAAATTTTCATAATAAAAATCCAGGCAGGAACCACATGTTCATAGTCTAAGGTCCCAAAGTGAGTTGGGGAACTGAGACGGTGGGCACCGAAAGATGGACACTGTTTGCAACCCCACTGTTCCTAAAGTCCCACTTGTCTCTGAGGTACATCAGTATCAATAAGTTATTACTAGTTTCTTGTATTAAAAGTTCGCTTTAGCTATGTGGATAGAAGGTTAATTCAAGACTGTGCTTATGAAAAATCATCCACATATTTTCTCAAAGCATCTAAAATGCCTGATAATGTGTTTACACTATCATGTATTAAGTGCTCAATACAGCCAAGTATAAAACACATTTAAAAAGTAAAATAAATACACAGTACAGTGGTACCTCAAGTTTCAAACAGCTCCCAACTCAAACAATTATGCAAGTGTATTTTTGAGAGTCTGAAATGGACTAATCTAATTTACATTTTTCCTCATGGGAACAAATTCATTCAGTATCAGCACTCAGACAGCCTTCTGGTATGAATTAAGCTCATAACGCGAGGTACCACTGTACCTACAAAAATATGGAGCCCGTCGCCCTTCCCTTACGCAACTGTTGTACGAAAACGATGAAAATGGAAGAAAAGTGGTAAAAGCACCAAATATAGCCTCTCTTCTCTTAGCGACGTACTCGTTTACCAACGACTCGGACTTACAACGGGCTCTCTGACCAGCATGCATACCTAAATAATGTACATTAGAGCTGATTTCCTCTTTTCTGTTCATTTAAAAATACAGTGGACCCCCGGTTAACGATATTTTTTCACTCCAGAAGTATGTTCAGGTGCCAGTAGTGACCGAATTTGTTCCCATAAGGAATATTGTGAAGTAGATTAGTCCATTTAAGACCCCCAAACATACACGTACAAATGCACTTAAATAAATACACTTACATAATTGGTCGCATTCGGAGGTGATCGTTATGCGGGGGTCCACTGTATACGAAAAATGTTACAAATGGTGCATAGGTGACATTAAAACAATATCAAAGATGGCTGACACAAACCCACTACCATTATAGTATGCTCCTTGCTTAGAGACGAATTTGTTTACCAACATGGTCTTAGGAATGAAACTCTGTTGTCAAGTAAGGAGAGGCTGTATAATGAACAATGGCTCAATTGAAAGCCAAGAAAAATGTGGAATACCGAAAAGAGGTGCTGTATATATGAGCCCTTCTGTATTTGTATGGCAAAGAGGACTGTCTTCCATACAAATACTGCCCTGGTACTTCTTAAATCTGCCAGGCAAACAGTCTGCTAAAGGCATATTTATGGGTATGTATATTTATGACACCTACTGAACATTGCTTCTTAGGATTTAAAATTATTTACTACACATTAAATATGGAATGTCTTCCATTAGCATAATTTTGTAAGTAACAATTATTCTTCATTTTTATCTAGTGTAACACTTATTTTCCTTAGATACATTTACCTCTAAATTACTGGTCAGTTTACTGGATGCAAGACTAATTATCGGTCAGTATTCAAGACCAACTGTTGGTCAGTTTACTGTATGCAAGACCAACTGTTGGTCAGTTTACTGTATGCAAGACCAACTGTTGGTCAGTTTACTGCATGCAAGACCAACTCTTGGTCAGTTTACTGCATGCAAGACCAACTCTTGGTCAGTTTACTGCATGCAAGACAAACTGTTGGTCAGTTTACTGTGTGCAAGACCAACTCTTGGTCAGTTAACTGCATGCAAGACCAATTCCTTCGAACAGTCTGATCCTTCAGGGTGCATCAGAATCAACACAACAGCTCTTACTGTTAGTACTACATAAACATTTCATATTAGGGCATTAGTTGAAAAATATTACTTGCTAATTTATATGTTAAATTTGGCAATTTATTTTTTTTAACTGGTCATGGACTAGGTCATGAGGGCACTGATCCCCAGATCCCACCAGGGCAGGGTGACCCAAAGAAGAAAACACATTCATCATCATTCATTCAACTGCCATCTTTCCAGAAATGTGTTGGCATCACAATCAATTACCCTCCAACTGCAACATTCCCACTCCTTCCTTCACAGTACACTCACTGCTCTTACCACCTCCCAGTCTCAAGTCCAGCTAACCAGTTTCCCTGAATCCCTTCATAAATGTTACCTTGCTCTTGTACAGTTACACAATAACTCATGGAGGAGTTGTTTTCTAAAGTTCCTGCCTATGAATGAGGCATGTGTGCCTCTGAAACTAATTTCCCATAGAAACAATAGTGTAACAAATAACTATGTTAGCCAGACTTGAGTCCTGGAGGTAGGAAGTACAGTGCCTGCACTATGAAGGAGTGGGGATACTTGTAATCTTGAACTGCCATATCAGTGTCCCTCTAGCAAGAAAGTGATGGTGAGTTAAAAAAAAAAAATATGTTTCACACATTTAGGTAGCTATGGATCATATTTTATGAAAGGTTAAATGATACCTAAGTAGCTAGGTTACAACTCTAAACCTGTCTTCTTGCATGTTCATGAGACAAAAAAAAAAAGACCAGACCAGACCATCAAACCTGCCAAAGTGCAAAATGTTTAACAGGCTTTTATTTCTTACTCAAAGGACAAGGCAGGAATATCTCCCTACTAAGGAATATAGTTCATATCATCAGTTTGAAAACATGGCAACACTGGATGATCTATTTTTCTACTAACTGAATGAAAAGATTGAAATGAATGATTGCTGCCATACTTTTCTTAAATGGGGAGGAGGAGGAATGCCTTAGCATCACTATAAATACAGAAACATAATATATGTATAGTGACAGCACTCCCATTGCACATACACACACATACACCCTCTCGTAACTACAAATACTGTAATATCACGTAACGCTTAATTCTGATTTGTCCCCCCACCAAGGCAGGGTGACCCAAAAAAGAAGAAAAGAAGTTACTTCTTTTTACCTTCAGTAATTTATACAGAAGGGGTTACTAGCTCCTAGCCCCTAGCATTTTAGTTGCCTCTTATGACATGCATGGCTAACAGAAGAAGGATTTTCTTCTCCACTTTCCCAAAGAGGTTGTTTACCCTTATGCACACATTATGTTCTTCACTTCTGCTTGTTCCCTTGTAAGTGTGAACAATACTACATAAGTTCTGACCGTGTACTAGTGGTGATGTCTTCAGGCTGCGAGAAGAAGAGCGGCATGATGTGTCCCAGAGCAGATATAGCAGCCTCGTACCTGCCTTGAGCAACCAGCTGATGTATGCACTCAATACCTTGCTCGCAAAACTATAAAAAACACAAAATAACCAACGATTACATTTCTATGTAGATTAACTTTGAGACACAATATTAATTGGTTAACAATACGTATTGTTAAAACACAATTGGCAAAACTTTGTTAAAGCACTTCAGTAAACAATCTTTGCACTAACTGGTTCTTAAGTTCAAGAGAATTAAAAATTGAGAAAAAATATATCAAGTTCAATTAGTGTCATTATTCATAACACACCTCAGGCAATGAGTGTCCCCAGGTGGTTAAGAGCAAGGCAGAGTAGAGAGCCAGTGGATTTTTATCCATAATGCCACGCTTCACAATATTCATCGATGAGCTGAAATTAAAATGAGGATTTAGTTGCCTTTTATGATATGTATGGCTTATGGAGGAAGGTTTCTTTTTCCCCACTTCCCCATGGAAATAAAAGATAATTTTTTTATTTATTTAACAAATTGACCGTATTTCACCAAGGCAGGGTGACCCGAAAAAGAAAAAACTTTTTCTTCTTTTTACATTTAGTAATTTATACAGGAGAATGGGTTACTATAAAAACAAACATATGCTGAATTTTGTAACAACACTGCACAGAAAATAGTAATGTAAGAAGGTCCAACTTAGGAACATGTTGAACACCCAGTGTTTCAACTAACAAGTTGTTCGTAACCCTGAACCAATTACCCTATTGAAAATAATAATACAACGGATGGTTATGAGTCACATGTATCCATACTGCAGATCGATCACCATAAAACAATTATTCTCTCAATGTTATGTCAGTATTTTAATAATTACCAAAAACCTCACTTTTAATACTGTATTGAAAAATCCTTCTATACAACTTTTGGGAATAAATATGTCCCCAATTATATATACGTTTTTAACAACGGCTGCCTTCCATCAAGGCAGGATAACCCAAAGAAGAAAATGCAGCCACTATCATTCATTCAACTGCACTCTTTCCAGAAGTGTGCTGATATCACAATCAAATTACCCTCTGATTGTAACATCCTCAGTCACCCTTCAGAGTGCAGGCACTGCCTTTCCCAAATCCAGGACTCAAGTCTGCCTAATCAGTTTCCCTGAATCCATTCATAAAAGTTACCTTGTAGGAGTAATGAAGCCAAAATAGAAAAAAAGACAAGGGCAAATTCCAAGATTTTAATCACAGACAAAAAATTAATATTTAATGTACATATCCAAGACATATCTATGACATATCCAAGATAAATCCACCACATATCCAAGATTTTTTTTTTTTTTTCAACAAGTCGGCTGTCTCCCACTGAGGCAGGGTGACCCAAAAAGAAAGAAAATCCCCAAAAAGAAAATTCTTTCATCATCATTCAACACTTTCACCTCACTCACACATAATCACTGTTTTTGCAGAGGTGCCCAGAATACAACAGTTTAGAAGTATATACCTGGAGATACCTGGAGATACCTGGAGATACCTGGAGAGAGTTCCGGGGGTCAACGCCCCCGCGGCCCGGTCTGTGACCAGGCCTCCTTAGGTCAGTGTCCCAGGATGCGACCCACACCAGTCGACTAACACCCAGGTACCCATTTTACTGATGGGGAACATAGACAACAGGTTGAAAGAAACACGTCCAATGTTTCTACTCTGGCTGGGAATCGAACCCAGGCCCTCACCGTGTGAAGCGAGAGCGTTAACCACCAGGCCACCATAAAAATATGCAATATATCAAAGATATATCCAAGATATAGCCACAAAAACATCAAAGACTGTAGGGATACTCTAAAATTCACTACAGTGTTATATTCTCCAATCAAAACTATAAAAACTAATCTTTTTCCTCAATTACCTCTACCCCACATATGGGATTTATAACTAAAGATCCACAATGGCAATCTGCTTCAAACCTATCATCATTCAACAAAAGGCAGCTATCAGAACCATCACAAACTCTAATTACAGGCAAAACATTATGCCCTTATTGAAGTCCCAGAACTTTCTTAACATGTATGTCATTGATGCTACTGTTCACATCTTCAGAACACAACGCTGTAGTGCTGATGTAACACACCTTCAAAACTGTAAATGAAGAGAAGTAACACTAGATACAAATACCTCCTTGATATTTCTCATGCTCATCTGAACTGCTACAGAAACTCTATGAAAAAATCAAAGAGCCAAAAAGTGGAATAACTTATTAGATTAATTAAATTCTTAACATTAAACTAATTCAAATTGAAGCTAAAACATACACAGTATATACAGAGTATACTTAAGCCCCTTAATCATGAAATTCTAAGTAATTTTCTAAAATATATTTCTTTATGACTATCAAGTTGTAATATTTATTGCTAACTTATTAATTACACTATGTGTGTGTCTCTCTCATTCTTTAGCTTGGCACCTAAATTTTAATTTACTGATTGTATCTTGAAAGTTTATAAACTAGAGGAGGAGGTAGTTAGGGTAAGACATAAGCAACTACTGGGAGAAAGATGGGCTAGTGAGAATATGGGTAACCAGGAAGCTGAAGAGGTATGGGGTAGATTTAAGAATGCAATGGTAGTGTGTGCAGCAGAAGTTTGTGGATATAGAAGATGGGGTGTGGTAGGGAAGAGAAGTGATTTGGCAGAATGATGAGGTAAAGATAATGATAAGGGAGAAAAAAATTAGCACATGAGAAGTTTACAAAGCAAAAGTGATATAAAGGTGGAGTATACAGAGAGTAAAAGAGAGGTTAAAAGAATAGTGAGGGAATGTAAAAGGAAAGCACATGAGAGAGTAGGTGAGGTACTGTTAACAAATTTTGCTGAGAATAAGTAGTTGTTTTGGAGTGAGATTAATAGGTTAAGAAAGCCTAGGGAATGAATGGATCTGAAAGTTAAAAACAGAAGAGGAGAGTTATTAAATGGGGAGTTGAAGGTATTGGGAAGTTGGTGAGAATATTTTGAGAAGCTGATAATTGTTGATGAAGAAAGGGAAGCAGTGATTTCATGCATTGACCAGGGAGGTATAACATCCATTAGAAGTATGAAAGAGCCAGATGTGAAAATGGGGAAGGTGCATGAGGCTGTGGGTTAAATGAAAGGGGGTAAAGCAGCAATGATAGATGGGATCATAACAAAAATGTTAAAAGCAGGTGGCAATAAATATATGAAAGAGGGTAAGGTACCTGGGGATTGGCAGAGAGCATGCATAGTTTCATCATTTGGCAGACAAATCATGCTTTGTAATGCTTTTATTTACTTAGTTTTTTGAGAGATTCAGCTGAACACAAGGAATTACCCCGGGCCATTGTTTGTGGTTACCCTTTAATTATAGTGTGGTATAGAGAACATAACACAAGATTTTTATAATCCATTATAGTAGTATTGAGGATATATCATTTTGTCTTATCAAAGGCCATTTTCCACCAAGGAAGAAAGACCCAAGGGAGGAGACACATTCACCAAAATTTATTCAAAGCTGTATTGCTGAAGTGCAAAGGCATCATAATTCAAATGACCTCCTGAGCTTGACCATCTATTAATCCTTCACAGTGCAGGCACTGTACTTCTCACTTTCACAACTCAGGTCTGGCTAATTTGTTTCCTAAATTTCCTAAACTCTTAAATTTCATAAATTCCTGAATGTAACCTTACTCATACTCCAACAGTAATGTCAAATAAAAAAAAACTTGTCTCCACTTACTAAGATCTAATATGCTCAATGGATTCTGAAACCACTAGCATTCAACAGCTCCTTCACCATTGCCTCAGAGATCTATCACATCTCCTGTGCTAATCAAGTTTGCTGAACAGATTCAAAGGTAAATACAATAACACTAAATAACATCAGCTCAATGAAAATTAACATTAAGAAATGAGACTCCAATCTTCGTGCTAGACCACAATAAACTCAAACAGGTACACTGGTAGAGCCAATACAAATACACAAGTGACCACTTTCCTGTACATTATAATACTATTGCATCAGTGCAACCTATCCAAAATGCTAAGTGAAACAACTAGCAGGTCTTCAACCTGTGGTCTGGATGTGGCCCTTCTAGGAAGTGGATGCAGCTCTCACATGAAATTATGAGTTCACTTTTATGTAGGTTCCACACAGCAGTGTCAGCAAAACCATGTGGCCCTCATCACACATCTGACCACTGTTCTAGAGTACATCATGCTCTCTCTAAAAAAAGTATTTTTTTAATAACACTGGCCCACTCCCACTGAGGTAGAGTGATATGTTTTAAAAACACATATAGTAGTCCAAATTTGCAACTGGTAAAAAACAGTGATGAAACAAAAACTTTGTAAACCAAAATTATAAAAATCTGCTAGTGCGCCATGCATTAGTACTGACCCCTGAGTTATAGCTGCTGAAGTGGGATCTGGCATGTCCATGAGGAGTGATGAGGGAGAGGCCAGAGCAGCCTGGACTTGTGCCTCAGGTTGGTCCAGACGGTGCAGTCGAAGACAAGTGAGCATCTCCCATGACCAATCAAAAAACATCTAAAAAAAAAAATATGTATCAAGTTTACAATCAGGTGAAGAGAATTTTTCTCATGTAATGAACTATAATATACTAGAAATCAGCAATTTTTTTACTACAGTTGCCATTTATCCTCAAGGTAAGGCAACTTCAAGAAGGAAATGCATTTAGTATTAATCATTCAATAGATGTGAGCAGTCACTGTGTTGTGCTAAAAGCCACAACACAGTGACTGGAACAATACACAAATAACCTGCACAGAGGAGAAAGAAATTTATGACAACATTTTGGTCTGACTTGCACTTTTAACTATACCAGACTCTAGTGCAATTGCAAGTACCATTTCAATTTGTATTTTTATATTATAAGTTTGTATTATAATTCCTACTCTAAGATTGTTTTCATATCTTAGTGACTATATTGTGTGTGCAATTAGTGTATTTTTCAATTATATTATTGTTCAAGGCCCTTAACTATCTTTTGCTAACTAGTACCAACTACCTCATATATTTTTTTTTTTTACTTTTTTTATTCTTTTGCTACCTTAACTTGCATATTTTATCTTGTCAATTTAAATCTAGTTATACTCTAATTCTTGTAAACAACTTATATAACACCTTAGTGCAATTACAATTGAGAGTCTTGTGCCTTTTTTATATTATTAAATTAAACTCAGTTGTACTATAGTCAATACCAAATTCATTATATTAGACCATATTGCAATTACTAGTGAGAGACTGGTGCTATTTTTAATTTGTATTGTTATATTATTAGATTAAATCTAGTTTGTAAATATAGCTCATTCTAGCTCAAAACAAAGACTCCACAAAAGTCATTATATTAGACCTTAGTGCAATTATTTGATTACCACTTTATTGTTCACCACAACTTATATTAGTCCCTTTTATATTATAATTTTATATTATAATTCTAACTTTAAAGAATTACCTTTAAAGTACTACCTACTATCATATTCCCCCAAACTCCATTATTTGATCATCACTTTAAATTTTTTCACCACAAATTATTTTAGTCCCTTTTATATTGTCTCCTTTATTTTAGCTTTAAAAAACTACCTTAGCTCATTATTTTTACATTTGTTAAATAATTCAGGTGCTATTTTTTTAGCTTTAGGATATTTACTTTATTTTTTACTTAATTCTAACTATAGATTCACTACAAATCTTATGATTACAAGCATTGATCCTGATACCAACCTCTTATTTAATGACTTAAATGATTCAAACAGTTACTGTAATTACTACACAGCAGAACAATCAAAGGCACTTCTCAGAGCTAACAACAACATAACTATCTTTAACTACAATATCAGATCTTTAAGCAAGCATTATGATGACCTCCTAGCATTACTAAATTCCTTGCATGCCAATATGTCCATCATTACACTAACTGAAACCTGGCTAAAGCCTGATACTACAGATGTCTATGCCATTCCTGGTTACACAGCCATACACAACTGTAGGCCAGACCAACAAGGGGTGGCACTGCTATATACTACTCAGACCAACTAGAATGTATCACTAATACTTGCACAAGGGATGAACATGGGGAATATATAATAGCTAAAATTCAAATCCAAATACCTACAAAAACCTCTCACAGTGATAAACATCTACAGAGTTCCCACAGTCAAACATTAGCCAATTTAGTCAAAACCTAGGAAGTATGATAACTGATGCACGCATGAACAAAGATCACTTACTACTCTCAGGTGACTTCAATATAAATCTCCTGCAAGACCAGGACCCACACGTTACTGAATTCACAAACACAATGAGTAACTGCATGTTGCTACCAACAGTAACAAAACCTACAAGAGTTACAGAGACTAGTATTTCCCTACTTGACCACATCTGGACCAACACCATATCCCCTTTAAAATCAGGCATAATTACAGATAATACCACAGACCACTACCCTACTTTCCTCATAATAACTCTTGGTAAAATACCCCAAGACACTACTAAAGTCACCTTCAGACTTCACAATGAGGCAGCCATTAATAACTTCACAACAGCAGTAACAAACATTGACTGGCACACTGAGCTAGAAATCTATACAGATATTGACGAATGTTTTAATAATTTTCTAAAAAAGACCCAATACCTTTATAACAAGCACTGCCCTAAAAAAACTAAACAGATGACAGCTAAGAGACTGAACAGTCCCTGGCTAACACCCAGCATTCTCAAATCCATAAATACAAAACACCGATATGAAAAACAGTACAGAATGGGTTACATAACCAGAGACCAAACAAAATGTTACTCGTCAATCCTAACTAGCCTGATAAGAAGGGCAAAAAAATTGTATTATGAGAACAGATTATCCAACTTACGAGGTGATATAAAAAAGACCTGGAAGACCCTATCAGAAATTCTGGGAACAAAAAAGATATCACAACATAGCGAAATAAAATTAGCAAAATCAGATGAACCCCAACTCCCACCAACAGAAACAGCAAACAGACTCAATGATTTCTTCTCCACTATAGGTCAAAACCTTGCCAATAAAATCCCAAGCTCAGATACCCCACCAAATGACTACCTCACTGGCAACTACCCAAACACACTGTTCCTAGCTCCGACTAACCCATACGAAGTCTCCCTTATTATCAACGCACTGAAAAACAAGGCAGGAAATGTAAATACCTTACCACCCTTTATATACAAAAAAGCATCACAAGTTTTTTTTTTTTTTTTCAACAAGTCGGCCGTCTCTCACCGAGGCAGGGTGACCCAAAAAAAAGAAAGAAAATCCCCAAAAAGAAAATACTTTCATCATCATTCAACACTTTCACCACACTCACACATTATCACTGTTTTTGCAGAGGTGCTCAGAATACAACAGTCTAGAAGCATACACATATAAAGATACACAACATATCCCTCCAAACTGCCAATATCCCAAACCCCTCCTTTAAAGTGCAGGCATTGTACTTCCCATTTCCAGGACTCAAGTCCGACTATATGAAAATAACCGGTTTCCCTGAATCCCTTCACTAAATATTACCCTGCTCACACTCCAACAGATCGTCAGGTCCCAAGTACCATTCGTCTCCATTTACTCCTATCTAACACGCTCACGCACGCTTGCTGGAAGTCCAAGCCCCTCGCCCACAAAACCTCCTTTTCCCCCTCTCTCCAACCCTTTCGAGGACGACCCCTACCCCACCTTCCTTCCCCTATAGATTTATATGCTTTCCATGTCATTCTACTTTGATCCATTCTCTCTAAATGACCAAACCACCTCAACAACCCCCTCTTCTGCCCTCTGACTAATACTTTTATTAACTCCACACCTTCTCCTAATTTCCACATCCGAATTTTCTGCATAATATTTACACCACACATTGCCCTTAAACAGGACATCTCCACTGCCTCCAACCGTCTCCTCGCTGCTGCATTTACAACATTGCAACACTATTTAACAAATCCATTGAATCCTCCACCTTCCCTACAGTTCTCAAAATAGCAAGGGTCACCCCGATCCATAAAGGAGGAGACCAAACAGAGTTGAATAACTATAGGCCAATATCCAATTTACACCCTCTCTCAAAAATCTTTGAAAAATTAATTCATAAACGAATCTACTCCTACCTCATCTCCCAAAACATTCTCAACCCCTGCCAATTTGGATTCAGGCCTAATAAAAATACTAATGATGCTATTATACACATGCTAGAACATATATACACTGCAACAGAGAAAAAAGAAGTCCCACTGGGGATCTTCATTGACTTACGTAAAGCTTTTGATACAGTTGACATTGACTTGCTCCACGTAAAATTGTCACACTATGGTATTAGAGGGCACTCCCTCAACTACCTCAAGTCTTACCTCAGCAACAGAAGCCAATATGTGTACGCAAATGGGGCAAGCTCTTCCGCACAACCAATTACAGTTGGTGTCCCACAGGGAAGTGTCCTTGGCCCTCTTCTCTTTCTCCTATACATAAATGACCTACCAAATGCTTCGCAATTACTCAAACCCACACTTTTTGCAGATGACACTACATACGTCTTCTCTCACCCGAGCCCAGTCACGCTAGCCAATACTGTAAACACCGAATTACAGAAAATATCTACCTGGATGAGGACTAACAAACTTACACTAAACATTGACAAAACCTACTTCATTCAGTTTGGTAACAGAGCTACAGACGTACCTCTTAACATAACAAAGCTAACAGAGGGAAAATTCCTAGGAATCCACCTCGATAATAGACTCAAATTTCATACACATATACAACAAATTTCTAAGAAAATCTCCAAGACTGTAGGCATACTATCGAAGATACGGTACTATGTTCCACAGTCAGCCCTCCTGGCCCTTTATCACTCTCTTATTTACCCCTATCTCACCTATGGAATTTGTGCATGGGGCTCAACAACTATTAACCATCTCAGACCACTAATTACCCAACAAAAGGCTGCAGTTAGAATGATAACAAATTCTCACTACAGGTAGCACACTCCACCAATATTCAAAACACTCAACCTACTCGCCATACAAAACATCCATACTTATTATTGCACCTATTACATACATAGAAAACTTAACTCTGATATTAACCCTCCCCTCAAACATCTCCTTGCCAACCTCAACAGAACACATGACCATAACACAAGGCACAGATCACTCTTTGATGTTCCTCGTGTCCATCTCATGCTATGCAAAAACTCAATGCACATAAAAGGCCCTAAAATCTGGAATTCATTACCTGTAAATATAAAAGAAACACTACCTGTTCATAAATTCAAGTCTCTTCTCAAATATCACTTACTCACTCAAAACCAAATAAATACTGAATAACTGAACCTTATAAATTGTATATCCTATATGTTACTCACAATTATATCACACAAAGGTTAAACCTAGGACCCAATCTAACTTTAGTATTTTTTTAAATACACTACCTAACAGAATACTACATTCGACTGAATGTACAGCAATGTAAGCAACCATATGACCTGTCTTTGTAATACTCATTTGTGCTTTATAGTTATCTGTTTACAATAATGTTTTATCACTGATTTCATCATTGCTTATTTAATCTTAAGTTAATTTTAAGCCAGCCCGTAATGCTATGCATATAAGTGGCTTTGGCATGCTGCTGTTAACTGTATTTTTTGTACCTCTGTTTGTATGCTTAAATTACTAAATAAATAAAGTTATAAATTTCTTTCTCCTATATGCTGGTTATTTATGTATCACTGTACAAATAAGACCTCACAACATCCCCACCCATTACTGTTATAACTGGAAGGTAACTTGACTGTGATGTCAGCACACTTCTTGAAAGATGGCAATTAAATGAATGATGGTGAATGTGATTTCCTCTTACCATCACCCTACCATGGAAGGAGATGGCTGAAGAATTGAACACTAAATAAAAAACAAAACAGTCTGCAGTACTGTACATTGTATAAAATTTAGTTAAAATTACAGAATAACCTTCAGAAAAATCTTAAAAAGTATACAGTGGATTGACTCCAAATATCTGACCTGTTCTGGAGATGGTGAATACATAACTGATGTAACCTGCTTTACGCCTTCTGTGAGCAGACTCCCAGAATACATATCACGACATATCTTAATGTGAGCCTCCAATACAGTCAGTGCCACCTGTAGGTAACAAAGTTGACATTTTTAGGCATTTAATTTTTTTTTTTTTTAACAAGTCGGCCGTCTCCCACGGAGGCAGGGTGACCCAAAATAGAAAGAAAATCCCCAAAAAGAAAATACTTTCATCATCATTCAACACTTTCACCTCACTCACACATTATCACTGTTTTTGCAGAGGTGCTCAGAACACAACAGCTTAGAAGCATATACCTATAAAGATACACAAACATATCCCTCCAAACTGCCAATATCCCAAACCCCTCGTTTAAAGTGCAGGCATTGTACTTCCCATTTCCAGGACTCAAGTCCGGCTATATAAAAATAACCGGTTTCCCTGAATCCCTTCACTACATATTACCCTGCTCACACTCCAACAGATCGTCAGGCCCCAAATACCATTTGTCTCCATTCACTCCTAACACGCTCACGCACGCTTACTGGAAGTCCAAGCCCCTTGCCCACAAAACCTCCTTTACCCCCTCCCTCCAACCTTTTCAAGGACGACCCCTACTCCGCCTTCCTTCCCCTACAGATTTATATGCTCTCCATGTCATTCTACTTTGATCCATTCTCTTTAAATGACCAAACCACCTCAACAACCCCACTTCAGCCCTCTAATACTTTTATTAACTCCACACCTTCTGCTAATTTCCACACTCCAAATTTTCTGCATAATATTTACACCACACATTGCCCTTAGACAGGACATCTCCACTGCCTCCAACCGCCTCCTCACTGCTGCATTCACAACCCAAGCTTCACACCCATATAAGTGTTGGTACTACTATACGTACTTTCATACATTCCCTTCTTTGCCTCCACAGATAAACGTTTTTTGTCTCCACATATACCTCAACGCACCACTCACCTTTTTTCCCTCATCAATTCTATGATTAACCTCATCCTTCATAAATCCATTCATAAATTCATTTTAAAAATGTACTCATGTATTTGTGGTTGCAAGGGTCAAGTTGTAGCTTCTGGCCCTGTCTCTTTGCTGGTCGCTGACTAGCAGAGTTAATACTGAGCATGAACGGTATACAACACCAACAAGATGAGGAATTAGACACATGTGCAACATCTGGGTATCTTCATTTGTAGATGTTTAACCATCCAGTGGCTTTATCAATACAAATTCAAGGACATGATGGGAAGACTTTGCATGTAGTTTTACAGTCTTCTCATTACATCCCTGAATTTGCATTGAAAAAGCCACTGGATGGCAAAATGTCTACAAATAAGGATACCCAGATGTGGACTGCCCACAGGATAGATATGGGGTGCATAATAAAGATAGTATTTAACTACCTAGATGTTGCATATGTGTCTAAGTCTTCATCAGACTGAATACTGTTTAAGTAGCAGCTTTACCTTACAATGCAACTCTTGAGGAAGAACCAGTTTTGTTTGCTGTTCATTCTCTCCCCAGTTGAGCTTGCCAAGAATAATTCGTGCCAACTGATTCTCCACACTGGCAGCTGGCATGAAGAGCAACCAGTACGACACGCATGTAACATCATCACTATCAGGCTCCCACATCTCCAGAGGCAAGGCACGAAATAAATACAGTGCCATACCACCTACACTTGTGATCTTTCCCTGAAATAGTAATAAATAGATTGCCATACCACCTACACTTATGGTCTTTTCCTGAAATATAAAAATACAGTGCCATACCACCTATACTTGTCATCTTTTCCTGAAATAGTGTAAAGACAATATTACACAGAAAATGCAGAAAACTGTGAGGATATATACATTACCTGTTTTTTTTTTTTTAGTTTACTTTTACCAGTGTGCTAAAACAATTGTATTATATTATACTATAATAAAATAGGGGCATGTGCCTCTGGCAAGACATTGATCGAGTGAATGATAGTGAGAGGTTTTCACTTTTCAGGTCACCCTACCTTGGTGGGAGATGGTCAGTGTGTTAAAATAAAATAGTATTTTTAACCTAATATGCTGTCCAAATAAATACAATATGAGGTGAAACAAGTACATAAATCATAAGTAATAAACAAATATATTATGAATAGCTTTTATAAAGTTTTGTCATCCATGTGAAAATGACAATGAATTTTTTTTTTTTTTTTTATTATCACACTGGCCGATTCCCACCAAGGCAGGGTGGCCCAAAAAAGAAAAACTTTCACCATCATTCACTCCATCACTGTCTTGCCAGAAGGGTGCTTTACACTACAGTTTTTAAACTGCAACATTAACACCCCTCCTTCAGAGTGCAGGCACTGTACTTCCCATCTCCAGGACTCAAGTCCGGCCTGCCGGTTTCCCTGAACCCCTTCATAAATGTTACTTTGCTCACACTCCAACAGCACGTCAAGTATTAAAAACCATTTGTTCCATTCACTCCTATCAAACACGCTAACGCATGCCTGCTGGAAGTCCAAGCCCCTCGCACACAAAACCTCCTTTAACCCCTCCCTCCAACCTTTCCTAGTTTACTTCCAAAAAATGCTTACGGTGGTTACAAAAAATATGAAGAGCACTTCGGACACTAATAGGTCTTCACTAGGACTTCAAACTAAAAAACAATGCAAAGGTAAAGTTTAAAATGCGTGAATGTTAAATTTGATGTTTATGTTTTATTTATTTTATAGGTAGGAGGTTGGTAGACAGCAACCACCCAGGGAGGTACTACCGTCCTGCCAAGTGAGTGTAAAACATATGCCTGTAATTGTTTTACATGATTGTAGGATTGCTGGTGTCCATTTTTCTGTCTCATAAACATGCAAGGTTTCAGGTACGTCTTGCTACTTCTACTTACACTTAGGTCACACTACACATACATGTACAAGCATATATATATATACACACCCTCCTGGGTTTTCTTCTATTTTCTTACTAGTTCCTGTTCTTGTTTATTTCCTCTAATCTCCAAGGGGAAGTGGAACAGAATTCTTCCTCCGTAAGCCATGCGTGTTGTAAGAGGCGACTAAAATGCCAGGAGCAAGGGGCTAGTAACCCCTTCTCCTGTACATATTACTAAATGTAAAAGGAGAAACTTTTGTTTTTCCTTTTGGGCCACCCCACCTTGGTGGGATACAGCCGGTGTGCTGAAAGAAGAAGATTTAATTTATTTTTCAACACACTGGCCATCTTTCACAAAGGTAATGCAACAATAAAAAGAAGAAACACTTTCACCATAACTCAAATCATCACTGCCTTGCTAGAGGCATGCTGGAATTTCAGCTCAGCTGCTCCTTCAAACTGCAAATATCCCCATCCCTCCATCAGAGTAAAGGCACTCTACTTCCCACCTCCAGGACTCGTAGTCCAGCTTACCAGTTTCCCTGAATCATTTCACAATTGTTACCTTGCTCATACTTCAACAGCACATTACCACCATGTACTCTTATCTAAAAAAAAAAAAAAAAAAAGAAGTAAGAATGGTATGGTTAGAGTGGAGTACAGAGTTTTTTTAGTAAATTATATAGAAGGGGTTACCAGCTCTTTGCTCGTAGCATTTTAGATGCTTCTTATGACATGCATTTCTTACAGAGGAAGGATTCTAACCCATTTTCCCATGGGGATATTTATTCATGGAAAAGACCTAAGTTTGTAAGAGACTGAGAGAAATAGGGGAAAGGAAAGGAATAAGGTTTAATCCATGTAATGGAAGGTTGTTACACTTCCCTAGTGTGACTTGAATAAAGACCTTTCACCAGCATCAAGGCAGCCTTAGCCTGGCTTGGATCAAGAGTCTTTCACCAGCATCAAGGCAGCCTTAGCCTGGCTTGGATCAAGAGCCTTTCACCAACATCAAGGCAGCCTTAGCCTGGCTTGGATCAAGAGCCTTCCACCAGCATCAAGGCAGCCTTAGCCTGGCTTTGATCAAGAGCCTTTCACCAATATCAAGGCAGCCTTAGCCTGGCTTGGATCAAGAGCCTTTCACCAGCATCAAGGCACCATCCCCATGAAGGGTTCAGTGAAGTACAACTCTAACAACAACTCAACATGATTTGGCAACAAATAAAAAATGAATCACCAATCATGATCTTGTAGAGTGCATCCCAAAAAGATGATGAGTCAATACAAAATTCTGTGACAATTCCTAAAGCACAATGTGATGGCTACAAGTTTAAAAAATTACCTGCGTTGCTGTTAGCAGAAATGACATCGATAATGGATGTTTAGATGCTATCGTAGCCAGCAGATCTCGACCACTCCGACTTAATTCTTCTCGTGTTCCTTCGTTTACAAAAGTTGCCTCAAATATGTTCTTTATAACCACCTGTAAGATATGGCTGCCTGTAGTAACCAGAATACTGGAATACTATTCTGAAAATTGAATTCAATGCACCCTCAAAATATTTAATTTGTTTTTTTCCTGTTTTTGGATGATTTTGATATTAGTGTATATTAAAATTAAGTGGAAAAAATACCTTAATAAATTCACATTCTGAAGATTCACGAGCTACAGTCATGTTTGCCAGCGCAGAGAGGAGGTAAAATGATTCATTCTCTTCCATATTCAAGAGGCAATCATGAAACTGACCTCGAGTGTCAGTGTGTGTCACTAAATCCGCCCATTCACTATTGTTCATGTTCTCTTTACCGATAGTGCTGCCTGATTCCTCTCTCATACCTGTATGAAGCTTGTAAACAATCTTCCACAATCTGAAAAGCAGACAAAAATATGATAATTACAAAGAGTACAATGTCAAAATGTGCTTAAATATTTTCTTTTTAATAATCACAATGCAAGTGTTGCAGCACAGTAAAATGATGAATGAAGACAAGTTGTGCATTTTTGGCCAATGCTTCAATATTATGCATCCTTAATCCATTCCAGGACCTTGGACTTATACCAAACAGGATGTACGGTGGAACCTCAGTTTATGAGTGCCCCATCATACGAGTTTCTCAGGATACGAGCAGCCACTCGGTCTATTTTTTCTTTCTGGATACGAGCAAAAATTCAGGATGCAAGATTTCCCCTCAAGGGAGGTTCCTTGATGCTGGTGAGGGGCTCTCAATCTAGAGAATTGTATTTGTGCTCGAGTTCCCTAAATTAAGCCTGAATACCTTCCATCCCCTCCCTCCCCCACAGGTGCTATATAATCCTATGGGCTTAGCGCTTCTCCATTATAATATTCAGTTAGTGAGTCAAGTCAGTCAAGTCATTCAGTCAAGTCAGTAGGTCAGTCAGTCAAGTCAATAAGTCAAGTCAGTAAGTCATTCAGTCAAGTCAGTAAGTCATTCAGTCAAGCCAGTAAGTCAGTAAGTCAGTCAGTCAAGTCAGCAAGTCAAGTCAATAAGTCAAGTCAATAAGTCAGTAAATCAGTTAGTCAAGTCAGTAAGTCATTCAGTCAGTAAGTCAGTCAGTCAAGTCAGTCGTCAGTAAGTCAGTCAAGTCAGCCAGTAAGATCAGTCACATCAGTAAGTCAGTCAAGTCAGTAAGTCAGTCAGCCAAGTCAGTAAGGTCAGTCACATCAGTCAGTCAGCCAAGTCAGTCAAGTAAGTAAGTAAGTAAGTAAGTAAGTAAGTAAGTAAGTAAGTAAGTAAGTAAGTAAGTCAGTCAGTCAGTCAGTCAGTCAGTCAGTCAGTCAGTCAGTCAGTCAAGTAAGTAAGTAAGTAAGTAAGTAAGTCAGTAAGTCAGTAAGTAAGTCAGTAAGTAAGTCAGTAAGTAAGTCAGTAAGTAAGTAAGTCAGTAAGTAAGTAAGTCAGTAAGTCAGTCAGTCAGTCAGTCAGTCAGTCAGTCAGTCAGTCAGTCAGTCAGTCAGTCAAAGTCAGTCAAAGTCAGTCAAAGTCAGTCAAAGTCAGTCAGTCAAAGTCAGTAAGTCAGTCAGTCAAGTCAGTCAGTCAAGTCAGTCAAGTCAGTAAGTCAGTCAGTCAAGTAAGTCAGTCAGTCAAGTCAGTCAGTCAGTAATGTCAGTCTGTCAGTCACGTCAGTCAAAGTCAGTAAGTCATTCAGTCATTCAGTAAGTCTGAACACAATTCACAAACACAGCTAGGTTGTAGGAGAGAAGTGGAACTGAACATGTATTCACGAAAGCTGGGAGGGTGGTGTCGGGAGTGTGATGGCAGTGCACCTCATGGTGGAAGGATTCTCACTTGTCACATATTGACATATTTTATTCATTCTAGAGTATATATCAGGTTTCAATGTTATTTATATTGTCTATTATGTCATATTAGATGAACTGTGATAGATAAATAAGCCCTAGAGTTGACATTAGCAAAATACTGAAGTACGTATTTTGTCCTGCCTCCTGAGAGCAGGAATTCCGCTGGAATGGATTAATGGCATTTCAGTTTATTTAAATGAGGAAAATTCACTCAGCATACGAGCAGATCAGGATACAAGCAAGGTCACGGAACAGATTAAACTCTTAAGCCAAGGTTCTACTGTACACAAAACAAAATTTCCCATAAGAAATATACAGAAAACGATTAATCCGTTCCCATGAAAAAATCTTATTGTTATTGGCATGTTATACATTGATGGGGTTGTATAAAATAATTTAAACACTGCTTAATACTAAAATATGTAATTTAAACACTGCTTAATATTAAAAGACATACATAAATACAAAAGAATTACATGAAGTTAATGCAAATTTAACCTCCCTTTACTTTGCTGAAAAGAGTCGAGTGCCTACTAGGATAGTGCTGAGAAGGAAGGAGAAGGAAATGTTATTGTTTGGAAGGAGTGTACCTTTCTCTTTTCTGTCTCTTTTCCCTATCTGGACCTGGTTGAAGCTCACCAGGTTTGACTTTTACTAAAAATCTGTCCAAAGAACTTTGCTTCTGCCTTCTCCTCATGATGTTTCGGAAATGTGAAGGGTAGCGCGCAGTGTCGTGATTCCTTTTGACCCATACAAGTTCTAGCACACGAGTCATATTCGAAACAAAGGTCGTATACCAAGCAAAACTTATTCCAAAGCGGACATATACCGAGGCACCACTGTATTAAAAAATATTTTTAAATAATTATTGTAATCTTAAGTTAGGCTTAAGCTTGCACGGATTGCTCTGCATAACTATACCTACTACAAATTCACCACCATGCAACCTCCATACAGGTGTGCTGTAGGCAGCAACCCACCTAAAGCCAATAACAACCCAACAAAAAGCTGCAATAAGAATTATCACACAGTCCAACTCTTCAAAGACCTGAACTTACTGTACAAAACATTCACACCTACTACTGTGCAACCTACAATCACAGAACTATAAATTCTAATGTTAACCCTTAACTAAAACACTTTCTTGATAGTTGCAACAGGACCCATAGACACAATATCAGACACAAAAATCTCTGTGACATTCCTCATGTCGGGCTAAACCTCTACAAAAATTCGATGTGCAAAAAAGGGCCTAAATTCTTAAACTCCCTCCCTGAAAACTCTAGAACTGCACACTCAACCACCATTTTCCAAAACTACCGTTTAAAAACATCTTATGTCCCTAACACACCCCATCATCAGCTAACTATATTGAAAACCACCTATTACTCTCATTATCTGTAATTCCCCCTAATTTACACTTACACTTACCCAAATGACTGTAAATATAAAATTCCTATTATAACTATTGCCTAATAAATCTTAAGTTAGTCCTAAGTTTGCCTAAGATACTCTCCCAATATAGGAGCTTTAATAGAAACTGTGTATCATGCCAAGACAAAAACATTCTCGTTACTAAATTTACTAATTGTAATATTGTTATATGTTTTGTGCTACCTCACTGTTATAAATCTAATTAATTGCTTAAGTTACCTAACTTTTATATTAGTATGCAATAAGGTATATTAAAATGTACTTCTCCATAACCTGTGCCCATACAGAGTAAGAATTAGGATTAGTCTGTCCGAAATGCCTAAGCATGCTAGTGGCCTTCTTTGTAATTAATATTTTATAATATGTAAACCACACACTGTAAGCTCTGCAAGGAAATAAACATTTTCTGCTGACGGGTAGTATGGTATACCTCATCCTGTGATAATCATGAATAACACAACACACACACACATCTTTATTAAAATGCGACAAAGTGGTTAGGCCACTTACCTGCCATGAGCTAAAAAATGCAAGACTGCATTACTGATTAAGGGAAGTCATGAAAAATGTATTTTAATACACATTGTATATGCTATTTTGCATAAAGAAAGGTTTTTGTTTACAGCTTCTCTTTTATTAAACCCTTGAGGATCAGTGCCGTAGATCTATGATTTTGAACTCTGAGTCAGTGCCATAGAACTAAGTGATAAGTTCAGTTCCCTCAGATGAGCCGTTAGTGGCAAATTTGGCCTAGATATGAGAGAACACGTCTATGTGGTAAGTGTGCACCATATAGAAAAAATCCTATAGCATGCAGTGCATAACGAGAAAAAACTGCGACCATGTTTTTGGTTTAACCCGTTAAAGAGGGTAATTTTCTACATGTAATAGGATAAAAAAAAAAATTTACGGCCAGTACTTATCGTGATACAAGGCCGCGAAGATCGCACTTGACACTCACCTGACAGCAATATGGAGCACTGCCACTTGCAGAAATGTTGCAAAAATGTAATTTTTTCTATTTTTTTTTTAATTTTTTCAGTTTTTATGGTATGATAATTATGTTTTATAGTAGATCTTTTGATTTCATAGCCAACTGTTGCTTAGATACAAACATAATGTATGAAATTATTAATCATACTGTCACAGACACATGTACACAGTGATAGGTGATTTTGTATACCTGGTTGAATCACATTCTATTATCCATGGGGAAGTGGAACAGAATTCTTCCTTCATAAGCCATGCGTGTTGTAAGAGGCGACTAAAATGCCAGGAGCAAGAGGCAAGTAACCCCTTCTCCTGTATATATTACTAAATGTGAAAGGAAAAACTTTTGTTTTTCCTTTTGGGCCACCCTGCCTCAGTGGGATACGGCCGGTGTGTTGAAAGAAAGAAAGAAGATATACAAGGTATTTACATGTCCCAGTTATGTTTCTAGAACTCCAGGATTGTACGATACTCCATGAAGAACGGATTCATACAGAGTGCCACCCCACACTGCTGACACATGAATCGTGTGTCCTTCTGCTGTTGGGGTCGCCTTGTGGTGTTAGCACAAACAATACACTTTTTCTGAGAATACTTCTTTTCTGGGGTAGATGGTATCTGTAACAGGTAGCGAGAGTTAGTGAGGATTAGGTCTGTCACTTTCCCCACTGGTTGTGGTCGGGGGACAGATCGCTGCTGAGGAGCAGGTACAGGTGTGGTACTATACTCCTTTACTCTCTGCTTTATGACACTGAGGGTGAATTCTGCATAATGAAGTCATTTTCCAGTCATTATTTCATACATATTGAAGGCACTAAACATAGCAATGTCAACAAGTTTAAAAAACACTTTCATGTACCACTTGCAACTCCTACACACACAATCAATGAACCTTATCATCATGTCACACTTGTTGACTAGTCGCCTATTGTTCGTATGGTCGACGACAGCAGCTGGCTTTACAATACATTCACTGGTGTCCCTGTTCACTTTGACTGTTTGTACCATCTTGTTGCTGTGGATGGTTGACAGCAACGTCACATCCCGTTTGTCATGCAACGTCAGTGCCATGATGTCATCATGGAATGAATCACTTGCACTGCACCTTCAGCATTGCTTCCAATGAACCTTGGCATGTGTTTTCTGCTTCTTCTCACTGTTCCACATATATCAGTATTGTTCACACAGTGGGAATCAGTGAGCATAAGGCTTGTATACCAGTTGCCTGTGTACAATGTATGACCCTTGCCAAGGTATGGCCCCATCATCTTGCAAACATCATCACCAGAAACACACAACATCTGCCTGGCATCAACAAGTGTGCTTTTCCCGGTGTAGACAAAGACATCCAACACTATGCCACTCTCACAGTCATACATAACAAAAAGTTTTATACCAAAGCAATTATGTTTGCTCAGTATACTACAGTGGACCCCCGCATAACGATCACCTCCGAATGCGATCAATTATGTAAGTGTATTTATGTAAGTGCATTTATACGTGTATGTTTGGGGGTCTGAAATGGACTAATCTACTTCACAATATTCCTTATGGGAACAAATTCGGTCAGTACTGGCACCTGAACATACTTCTGGAGTGAAAAAATATCGTTAACCGGGGGTCCACTGTATATTGATTGAATGACAGTCATCCCTTGAACAGAATCAAGGACTTATCAACAATAATGTTCTTGAAAGGATAAAAGTAGGCACTGAATTTCTGCTTCATATACATAAGCATATGGGTTTATAAAAGATGAGGTAAACCACAGAACTGATGAAGAAAAAAAGGTGAGTGGTGCATTGAGGTATCTGTGGAGACAAAAAAACGTTATCCATGGAGGCAAAGAAGGGAATGTATGAGTGTAGCGGTACCAACACTTTTATATGTGTATGAAGCTTAGGTTGTAAATGCTGCAGTGAGGAGGCAGCTGGAGGCAGTGGAGATGTTCTGTTTAAGGGCAATGTGTCGTGTAAATATTATGCAGAAAATTCATAGTGTGGAAATTAGGAGGAGGTGTGGAGTTACCAAAAGTATTAGTCAAAGGGCTGAAGAGAGGCTGTTCAGGTAGTTTGGTCATTTAGAGAGAGTAGAACAAAGCAGGATGACTTGGAGAGCATATAAATCTATTGGGGAAGGAAGGCGAGTTAGGGGTCGTCCCTGAAAAAGCTGGAGGGAGGGGGTAAAAGAAGTTTTGTGGGCGAGAGGCTTGGACTTCCAGTGTGTGTGAGCATGTTAGATAGGAGTGAATGGAGATGAAAGGCTTTTGGGACCTGACGAGCTGTTGGAGTGTGAGCAGGGTAATATTCTGTGAAGGGATTCAGGGAAAATAGTTAGCCAAACTTGAGTCCTGGAGGTGGGAAGTACAATGCCTGCACTTTAATGGAGGGGTTTGGGATATCGGCTGCTTGGAGTGACATCTAAACTGTTGTACCAGAGCGCCTCTGCAAAGACAGTGATTATGTATGAATGATGGTGAAAGTGTTGAATGATGATAGTTTTTTTCTTTCCTTTTGGGTCACCCTGCCTCGGTGGGAAATGGCTGACATGTTAAAAAAAAAAAAAAAAAAAGTCTAGCTATTAAATCAAGAGCACCTCACCAGTGTTGATATTAAAAAAAAGGCAATAATACAAAAACTAACAGACAGCATATGCATCACTATGAAAGAAAGCAGTAGACTCACCTGGAGAGAGAGACACTGCCATAAGGGATGACAGCCAGGAATTGCCAAGCTCCTGAACGTGGGCTGCTGAAGATACAATCTACAGCCTTCTCAAACAACTGGTCATACTCCACCTGCATTACATGTGCATATTTTAAAGAGCATTTACTGTTCTAAATATAGTCAACTGCCACTTAAGGACCTAAATAAAGAACTAAAGATTTGTAAAGTAAAAGGACACAAGTGCAACTAATGTGACATTTTATTGTGGCAACGTTTCGCTCTCCAGGAGCTTTATCAAGCCATTACAAACAATACATGGACACAGAGGGTATATAAAGGCTCAACTAAAGATTTGTTAAGCAGAAATTATATTAAGTGAATTACTTCATACCCACTGACATGTTAAAAAGTGAGATGCAGAAAAGGAGAAAAATATTCAGTATCGAATTCCTATTAATATTTTGGAGGTGATGAAGCTTATGAAGATGCGCTACTCATGAAAGTCTAGCTTTCCTTTCTTCCATGTCCTTCTTTGCTCTGACACTTTTTTCCTCTTTCATTCCCTCTCTCTCAGGTGAAAGGTGAATCACTGCTAGTAATTTCCTCTAGTAAGGTCTTTTTCTTGCAATTACTCATTCAAGACAGTTGTAAAAAATAAAAAAGAACACAGTGACTGGAACAATATACAAATAATCCGCACACAAGAGAATGAAACTTGTGACGACATTTTGGTCTGACTTGGACTATTAACCCTTTGAGGGTTTCGGACGTACTAGTACAGCTTACGACCCAGGGTTTTTGACGTACTAGTACGCCTAAATTCTAGCGCCCTCAAATCTAGTGGGAGAAAGCTGGTAGGCCTCCATATGAAAGAATGGGTCTATGTGGTCAGTGTGCATGGTATAAAAAAAATCCTGAAGCACACAGTGCATAATGAGAAAAAAAAAAATTGACCGTTTTTTTGGAATAAAACAGCGACTTTGCACTGTATTTTCGTATGGTATTTATTGTTGTATTCTAGTTTTCTTGGTCTCATTTTATAGAATGGAAGGCATATCATAGAAATTGAGATGATTTTGACTGGTTTTACAATGAAAAGTACCTTGAAACTGAGCTCAAAGTAGCAGAAATGTTCGATTTTTACCAAAGTTCAAAAGTAAACAAATCATGCCAAGCGTCCAATTCACGTCAACTGGTGAGTCTAATATTCTTTTGCAAGTGCGCCAATATGATTCATACCATGTTTTACACTAATGCAGTAGTCTGCATAACAGTAAATCTTCTATTTTTTGTGAGAATAAAAATTCAAAGTGGAAAGCAAAAGAATGTAAGAGGGGCCTTGAGACGTGACTAATGAACAGAGGAAATGTCATTTTAGTGCCAGGAATGTATTTCTTGTTTATTCTGGACCCTATTCGGAAATTGGCATCTTTTGAAATTTGTGTGAAATTGGCAAAATTGCTAAATTCTGACCACTGAACTGGATAGTTGAAATTGGTAAATGGGTGGTTTCTTGCACTCATTCAATAGAAAATATGGAGTTCTAGCGAAATATTCATGTTTTTTGTCGACTAGTACAGTGGAACTAGCTGAAAATGGGGCTCAAAGTGGGCAAAATCGCCGATCCGTAAACATCGCCGAGACCGCTAACTTTGTGAGAGCATAATTCCGTAAGTTTTCCATCAAATTTCATATTTTTGGTGTCATTATGATCGGGAAAAGATTCTCTATCTTTTCATAAGAAAAAATTATTTTTTTTTTTTTTTAAATTTGGCCGACCCTGAGAACGAGTCTCGGAGAGGGCCTGTCGACCCTCAAAGGGTTAACTAGTCACAGAAGCGTGAATGGAACGGAGCCAATATATACGTATATGAGTTATAAATTTTTTTTTTTTCAACAAACCGGCCGTATCCCACCAAGGCAGGGTGGCCCAAAAAGAAAAATGAAAGTTTCTCTTTTTAAATTTAGTAATTTATACGGGAGAAGGGGTTACTAGCCCCTTGCTCCCGGCATTTTAGTCGCCTCTTACAACACGCATGGCTTACGGAGGAAGAATTCTGTTCCACTTCCCCATGGAGATAAGAGGAAATAAACAACAACAAGAACTGGAAAGAAAATAGAAGAAAACCCAGAGGGATGTGTATATATACATATATATGCTTGTACATACATGTGTAGTGTGACCTAAGTGCAAGTAGAAGTAGCAAGACGTACCTGAAATCTTGCATGTTTACGAGACAGAAAAAAAAGGACATCAGCAATCCTACCATCATGTAAAACAATTACAGGCTTTCGTTTTACACTCACTTGGCAGGACGGTAGTACCTCCCTGGGCAGTTGCTGTCTACCAACCTACTACCTAGAACGAGTTATAAATATGACTCATAAAATAGAAACAGCTGCTAATGAGCCATGAGAGCGCAAAAATCGAAGTGGTGATGAGAAAACCACTTCAAGGTGTGACAATCAGCTGCATCCTGAAATCCATTGTTTGAATGTGTTCTACTGTTGCTGACTTTATCTACAGTATATCTATGGAATAAAGTAATTTAAAAAGATCGGCACTTTTTTGTAAATATAACAACAAAACAATCCTACTATAGATATGATTTTTCTTTTAACACTCAGGCCATCTCCCACCGAGGCAGGGTGACCCAAAAAAGAAACACTTTCACCATCATTCACACTATCACTGTTTTGCCAGAGGCACACAGATACAACAGTTTAGATGTCACTCTAAATGGCAAAAATCCCAAGCCCCTCCTTTAAAGTGCAAGAATTTTTTGTTTCAACAAATCAGCCATATCCCACTGAGGCAGGGTGGCCCAAAAAAGAACAACAAAAATTTCTCCTTTTAACTTTAGTAATGTATACAGGAGAAGGGGTTACTAGCCCCTTGCTCCCGGCACTTTAGTCGACTCTTACAACATGCATGGTTTAACCCTTTGACTGTTTTGGTCGTATATATACGTCTTACAAGCCAGTGTTTCGGACATATATGTATATAGTGGACCCCCGCCTTACGAATGCATCCCGTTACATTAAATCCGCCATACGAAGCATTTGAATGCAAAAATTTTGCCTCGCCTCACGTGATTCGTCCGGGACGTGTCCCACGCGTGGCCTCAGCTGCCCCATGCGTGCCAGTGTTTACAAGCCAGCCAGTGCAGTCGCATCTAAGCATACATTTGGTACATTTCATATTATCATTGTTTTTAGTGTTTTTTTTTTTTTTTATTATCACACTGGCCGATTCCCACCAAGGCAGGGTGGCCCGAAAAAGAAAAACTTTCACCATCATTCACTCCATCACTGTCTTGCCAGAAGGGTGCTTTACACTACAGTTTTTAAACTGCAACATTAACACCCCTCCTTCAGAGTGCAGGCACTGTACTTCCCATCTCCAGGACTCAAGTCCGGCCTGAACCCCTTCATAAATGTTACTTTGCTCACACTCCAACAGCACGTCAAGTATTAAAAACCATTTGTCTCCATTCACTCCTATCAAACACGCTCACGCATGCCTGCTGGAAGTCCAAGCCCCTCGCACACAAAACCTCCTTTACCCCCTCTCTCCAACCTTTCCTAGGCCGACCCCAACCCGCCTTCCTTCCACTACAGACTGATACACTCTTGAAGTCATTCTGTTTCGCTCCATTCTCTGTACATGTCCGAACCACCTCAACAACCCTTCCTCAGCCCTCGGACAACAGTTTTGGTAATCCTGCACCTCCTCCTAACTTCCAAACTACGAATTCTCTGCATTATATTCACACCACACATTGCCCTCAGACATGACATCTCCACTGCCTCCAGTCTTCTCCTCGCTGCAACATTCATCACCCATGCTTCACACCCATATAAGAGTGTTGGTAAAACTATACTCTCATACATTCCCCTCTTGTGCCTCCAAGGACAAAGTTTTTTGTCTCCACAGACTCCTAAGTGCACCACTCACTCTTTTCCCCTCATCAATTCTATGATTCACCTCATCTTTCATAGACCCATCCGCTGACACGTCCACTCCCAAATATCTGAATACATTCACCTCCTCCATACTCTCTCCCTCCATCTGATATTCAATCTTTTCATCACCTAATCTTTTTGTTATCCTCATAACCTTACTCTTTCCTGTATTCACCTTTAATTTTCTTCTTTCTGCACACCCTACCAAATTCATCCACCAATCTCTGCAACTTCTCTTCAGAATCTCCCAAGAGCACAGTGTCATCAGCAAAGAGCAGCTGTGACAACTCCCACTTTGTGTGTGATTCTTTATCTTTTAACTCCACGCCTCTTGCCAAGACCCTCGCATTTACTTCTCTTACAACCCCATCTATAAATATACTAAACAACCACGGTGACATCACACATCCTTGTCTAAGGCCTACTTTTACTGGGAAAAAAAATTTCCCTCTTTCCTACATACTCTAACTTGAGCCTCACTATACTCGTAAAAAACCCTTCACTGCTTTCAGTAACCTACCTCCTACACCATACACTTGCAACATCTGCCACATTGCCCCCTATCCACCCTGTCATACGCCTTTTCCAAACCCATAAATGCCACAAAGACCTCTTTAACCTTATATAAATACTGTTCACTTATATGTTTCACTGTAAACACCTGGTCCACACCACCCCCTACCTTTCCTAAAGCCTCCTTGTTCATCTGTATCCTATTCTCCGTCTTACTCTTAATTCTTTCAATAATAACTCTTACCATACACTTTACCAGGTACACTCAACAGACTTATCCCCTATAATTTTTGCACTCTCTTTTATCCCCTTTGCCTTTATACAAAGGAACTATGCATGCTCTCTGCCAATCCCTAGGTACCTTACCCTCTTCCATACATTTATTAAATAATTGCACCAACCACTCCAAAACTATATCCCCACCTGCTTTTAACATTTCTATATCTTTATCCCATCAATCCCGGCTGCCTTACCCCCTTTCATTTTACCTACCGCCTCACGAACTTCCCCCACACTCACAACTGGCTCTTCCTCACTCCTCCTTGCCCTATACACGAAATCACAGCCTCCCCATCTTCATCAACATTTAACAATTCCTCAAAATATTCCCTCCATCTTCCCAATACCTCCAACTCTTCATTTAATAACTCCC